ACAGATCATTACATATGATTCAGTTCCTGCTTCCAGTCTGTAACATGGCTCTACCTACATAAGAATCTTAGAAAGATGTGGTGAAGATTTAAACTGTATTATGTAGTTGGACAAAGAGAGTTACAGTCAGTGCTTCTAAAGTCATGCAAGAAACACTTATTCAGCTTTTAAAGAAAGACTAATGCTTATGGAGGTACACAGTAGGTTTTTACAGTGGGATTAGTTATATAGCTCATCAAAGTATGCAGTACCTTGGGCAGAAGTTGAATGATATAATGATTTTTATGATAGTTCATTTCAGATGTAAAACTTATTTAAATACATTTATCTAAACTTTTTTCTGTGGTGACTCTTTACCTCATGCATAATTCTGAAAATTAGCCTGGTCTGTTCTACAACAGTATTGTACAGAAATAATCAACCCAAGAAAGATGGTTATGTGAGCAAGTTTACCATACTTTTTTTTTTTTTTTTTCCCTCCAGATTGGGTCTCAGCTTCAACAGTATTTCTTCAGTTGAAAATGGTTCTCTTAACAATGTACCTCATCTGAGAGAGCTCCATTTGAACAACAATGAACTTGTCAGAGTACCTAGCGGGCTGGGTGAACACAAATATATCCAGGTAAAGTTTATCATACTGCCTCAGAGCTCAATAGTTGAAATATTCTGAGTGATATTTGTGTGATTATTCAGTCTTTAACAGAAATATATACAATATTTGTGCAAAAGATAACTTGATGCAAGTTTCATAAACTTGAATAGGCCTATTGATGACACCAAGCTGTGTGGTGTGGTTGACACACTGGAGGGATGGGATGCCAACCAGAAGGATCTTAACAGGCTTGAGAGGTGGGCCTGTGCAAACCTCATGAAGTTCAACAAGGCCAAATCCAAGGTCCTGCACCTGGGTTGGCGCAATCCCAAACATAAATACAGGCTGGGTAATGAGTGGCTTGAGGCCAGCTCTGAAGAGAAGGACTTGGGAGTGGTGGTAGATGAGAAGCTGAACACCAGTAGACAATGTGCGCTTGCAGCCCAGAAGGCCAATAACCGTATCCTGGGCTGCATCAAGAGAAGCGTGTCCAGCAGGTCGAGGGAGGTGATTCTGCCCCTCTACTCCTCTCTTGTGAGGCCCCACCTGGAGTACTGCGTCCAGTTCTGGAGCCTCCAACATAAGAAAGACATGGACCAGTTGGAACAAGTCCAGAGAAGGGCCACAAGGATGATCCGAGAGCTGGAGCACGTCTCCTGTGAAGACAGGCTGAGAGAGTTGGGGCTGTTCAGCCTGGAGAAAAGAAGGCTTCAGGGAGACCTTTTAGCTGCCTTCCAGTTCCTGAAAGGGGCCTACAAGAAAGTTGGGGAGGGACTTCTTACAAGGGCAGGTAGTAATAGAACAAGGGATAATGGCTTTAAACTGAAAGAGGGTAGGTTTAGATTAGACATTAGGAAGAAATTCTTCACTGTGAGGGTGGTGAGACACTGGAACAGGTTGCCAGAGAAGTTGTGGATGCCCCCTCCCTGGAAGTGTTCAAGGCCAGGCTGGATGAGGCTTTGAGCAACCTGGTCTAGTGGAAGGTGTCCCTGCTGATGGCAGGGGGATTGGAACTAGATGATCTTTAAGGTCCCTTCCAACCCTAACCATTCTATAATTCTATGAAAATTTGCAAACAAGAAGACTCTTATTATGATTTTTATGTGGTTGTAGCTATGGAGGTGTACAGACCTGGAGGTGTGCATTTGTATCTCTGTGTGTCTGAGGGGACACAACAAATATGGGATTATTTGTGTACTTTGATTCCCTATTTACTCAAAAAATATATCAAAGGACAATTCTTCTGTTGAATTTTTAAAAATTCAACTCAGTGACATTTTGCAATCTTTCCCAAGAACCTTGCCTCTGGTATCTCACAAAGCTATGCCTTCAAGAAGGCAAAGAGATGCAATATACATTTCTCATCAGCAGTATTTTTGATGACTGTGTGGCTGGATAGCTAGAAATATGGCCTCTTGGAACCAATTAAACTCTGTCTTTGCTTGGACTAAGATTTTATGGAAAAACAAGTTCCCAAAGAATGAAGACTCCCAAATGTAAATTACCACTTGCATTCGGCTTGGGAAAATTCATCAGAAATGGTGACTCTGGAGCAAAGTAATATGCATCAGCTATTTAAAACCATCATTAGTGATTACTTTGGCTCTGAGTCCTGTACAGTTGCACTCATGAGAGTGAAAGCATTAGAGCTGGAGAGAAACCAGTTAGCACCAAATACGTTCTTTATATACAGTACATGTTTCTGAACCACAGCACTGTATTAATAATGCCACATCTTTGACTCCTTTTTTGGTTACATTATGATCAAATGATAGTAATGTTATTAGATTGCCTTGCACAGTTTCTACTTTTTCTGTAGAAATTATTTCTAATTTGGTATTTCAAAAGGAAGGCAGAATCAAACATTTGTTTGGGAAAAAATGGGTATTTTTGCAGTGTATAACATTGCAGAATGCATACCAAGCATTTGACATCAAATAATTTATCTTATTTGCCATGGTAACTTTATTTCTCACTTCTGTACTTCTATGCTTTTCAGGTAGTCTATCTTCATAACAACAAAATTGCTTCAATTGGTATCAACGACTTTTGCCCTCTTGGCTACAACACCAAAAAGGCTAGCTACTCTGGTGTCAGTCTCTTCAGCAACCCCGTGCAGTACTGGGAAATCCAGCCCTCTGCTTTCCGATGTATCCATGAACGCTCTGCAGTACAGATTGGAAACTATAAATAGATGTCTAAAGATGGGTTCGGTTGTGTTTCAGCTAAAGTACCTGTTGTAATAGGCCTGTTCAAAAAATTGTTGCTAACAATTAGTACCAAATACCAAAAACTTAAATTTAAAGTGGAGATGATCCACTGATGTAGAATAAATGAATCATTACAGATGTACAGGATCAAGCATACCATCAAAAAGAATTGCCAACTCTGCTTTAAACTGACTTATTTCAGCCTTCTTTTCCAGCATGCTTTCTGTGGTATTTTTCAGTTTGCTGAATGCCACAGGTTTTCAAATTCCACTGTATATGAGATTCAGAGTAAATATTTGTCAAGCTATGGTATAAAAAACAAAAAAAAAAAGAAAATAGTGATTGAGGTTATTTTTATAGCCATACACACACACACACACACACACACACACAAAAAAGGGGGAGAGAAAAAAGACCCTCAAATAATCTTGAGACTTGAGAAGGTGAGAGTTATCTCCTTTAAATTAATTTCAAGCCCTGGAGGTTTAAAAATATTCACTATAACACTAAGCTAATTCTGAATGTATCTATTTAGCAGAGGCAAATAATGTTGTTGCTAATGTCATTATTCTGGGAAAAAAATAAAATAAATTCATATTGTACACATAGTTCTTTAAAGTCTGCCATTCTTCTAGAGCAATGCTATTCAGGATTAGCCTAATAGAATCCTATTGAACAAATTAACAAGTAGTCTGCAGTACAATACCTGTTAGCTATGTCTGGAGCTCAATGACTAAATTTCTCTAGGGCAAATCCCTCTCACCTTAGTCACAAGAGCAGTTTTAATTACTTCAGTGAGACTGCCTTGCAGAGTAAGGTATTAAGGTTTAGTCATTGGTGTCAATCCATGTATATACCTAAACCAAAAATAATAGCAGTTCACTGTTCACTTGTTCTGCATGGTACATCTGTCAGCATCCTTTACTGTTTTTGTTTTTTAAACAGTGTTTTTAATTGTCAAGTAGAGATATGCAGGCTCCCCATCTGATGTATTTATGGAATTTGGATTATAAGTAAAATCATAAGTATAGCAAAATATGAACTGAAATAACTGTAAGGCCTAGCTGGATATGGCTGGGACAGCATTCATAGAAGTTTGATTTGAAGCCCTCTGCAAAATGGGATTCTTCAACTCATACCAGTGGGTAGCAAGCACATCAAAGGTAGGCTGCACATTTCTACTGTCACTCTACAAAGCTAAACATATACTCAATAAGAATGTCACCTTAAAAGGATCTTCTGCAGCCTCTTAATACTCCAAGGTCAATCTCTCTAATTTTTAAAATGTATATGTCATTTATATTAAAGAATAATGCAATACAGGCAAGCTCCAGGTATTTGTCTTTTTCTTTTTTTCTGTTTTGATAGCATAACATAGTGTGTCAGAACTTTTTTTAATTATGATTAAGTCTTGAAAATTGAACATCTTTGGTATGATGATAGCTAAAGAGCAAATTCTCTTGGCTCGAGAAACATTTTCATGCTTGATACGCATAGGTATTTCTCCTAGAAAATTAATATGTTCTCTTTATAATTGTCATTTATTCAAGTAGTACATAATTGGAAATTATTATGAATCACTAAAGCCATTACACATAAAAAGCGTGGTTGCACTCTTGTTAGCTATCTTCTTCATATGGTAGTCAATGATTACCCCCATTTTAATCTGTTTTGGTGGGTTTTTTTTGTTTTCTTTTGTTTTTTTTTTTAATAAAAATAACACTACATTGTGTCCTTCT